GGTCAGTGTGATCCTTTATATAACCATTCTTGCAAATGCAGATATCTGGTGCTAAGCATTCACCATTTACACAACCGCTTTTGCAGAAGGGAACACATTCATGAGTTTTATTTTTATTCAAGGTATAACCTTCATCACAAATACAGCTGTTATCTTCTGCACAGTGACCGTGTTGACATTGACATGCTGTGATGCACAAAATTCCAAGCTTCACAAAACCATCATTGCAAGTGCAAACATCAGGGGCCAAACAGCGTCCATTCTGGCAGCCTCCTGGACAGAAAGGTACGCACTGATTTCTCCCATTCTTTACATATCCACTTTTGCAAGAGCATGTATTAGGAGCTGAACAGTGGTGACTTGGTGGACAACCTCCATTGCATCTAGGGACACATTCATCTGCAGAATTTTTCCTGTATCCCTCACAGCATTCTTCAACTGCTCCATGTTCTCTGAAACAGAGACATTAAATATTAATTTCAGGTTCTAACATTTACTGACTTTTAGGGAATTAAATTTTCTGTTATTTTAAATCTGTAGGTGGATGCTGATATCAAGCTTGTTTATCAAAACAGGTAATATACTAATACATAAGTAAACAGAGTAACTGTAGATATACTTTAATGCATTAATTTTACTTTCCAATTCAAACAGTTTATCAGTATTATGATTACATGTATTAAGAAAACAAGGTTCCCAACTTACTGGCTTGATTAATATATACATTCATATATATATATTGCTTTAAGTTGAGGTGAAGATACTATATTGCTACTGGGGGGGGACAGGGGCACTGTTTATTCAAAATATGCAATAATCATCACACACGTGAATAGAAAAAATGTGTAATATGCACTTCCTGTGGTAAGCCACAATGTGATAATATTTTATCTGTATGACATGCATTATATTTTACTCACAAACAAATGAGTCACCTATGTGGTTTTTCAAGCAGATTTCTTGTGTAGATCAGGTAGATCAGAGAATGTCACATAATAAAATGAGACAAATTAATCAATAATATCCTTTTCAAATTTCAGAGGAACTGGGTTAACCTAGTGACATAGTTTGCCATGTTTTTGTGTATGGTTTGCCTCCTCATCAAGTATTATGGTGGTTAAACTAAGGAAGGTAAAGTGCCAGAATTGCAGCATGCATGAGGGAGATGAGTAATGTATACAGATTTTGGTCAAAAAACTGAAGGGAAGAACCTACCAGGAAGAACTAGATGTAGATGTGAAGGTGTAATCAGGATTTAAGTAACCCAGGATACAATTATGAGCACTGTAATGAATCATTGTGTAATGGGGAATTTGATTAGTTGACCAAGTATTAATTTCTCGATAAGAATTATTCTCTATGGAAAATGTCACGAAGGACTCAAAGATCATAAGTGATTGGATATTGTTATATTGTTGCTGCATATAAGTTGTCTTTATGGAACACTGTTTGTGTACACAGTAAGCAGATAGCCGTGTTCCTGGAAGTAGAACATTTCAATGACAAGCTGTTAACTAAACAACACGGAAGTGGATAATGCTCTGTTGGACTTTTATCTACTAAAAAAGCAGGAATAATGTGACTTGATGTCACACATTTGCTGCATGTTATCAATTTATTTGTTTGTTTGTCTGCTTGCTTTATATCGTACATCATATTTTCTATGCTAGACCCACAAATATTGGTTGATATCAAGATGATTTTTGATTTGGCAGTAGACCTATCAGCTACAGATATTGATTGATTGACCTAACTCTTGTAGACTGAGTGGAAAGCTTTCATGAATCATCCCGGTTTCCTGCCTTTAAAACCAAAAGCTTCCGTATTTTTCAAACAGAGCTTAACGGTTGCACTTAAGAGTTTTTCAGAAGACTGAACCGGATTCTGTTATCAGGAGTGATAACAGAGGAATAAGAATAATACTTCATTAAGAGAATAAGCCTATATTTTATGTGTCAGTAAGAAGTGCTCAAGTAAATTGTTGATTTAAATCATTCTAATCATGCACCTGTCTGGATTATTCAACATGATTATGCATGTAAATTGTTGATACCCAATTATTTTCTTGTCATAAGGACACACTTTCCTGATCAGGAAAGTGTGTCCTTACGGCTGCTTAGTAACTAATTCCATGGATCACAGTTCTTGAAAAGCTAATAGTTTCATTGTTTTTTTTAAGTATTATCTTAATGTTATTTAAATAAATCGGAAATTAGTCATATGTATGTTAGTGAATTTTAACAGTTTTTCTCGTGGCGGCAATTGAATTTTTAGTTTGGTGAGTAAGACCTGGTGTAACTTTATGTCCAGCAGATGGCAGAAAAATGGAACATTTATTTTCTTTGATTGAGATGTCAAGTGTTCACGGTGGCGTGTATGAATGTGGCTGTCCAGCGTTGTTGTGCCAAGTAGTCTGGTAAAGGGTTTAGTCATCGCCCTAATGGCGGAGGGGAAAAGTGCCTCCGAAACGTCGGTAAATTGCCAGACTACACTTTGAGACTGTCCCTTTACTTACTTTGCTGTTTTCCACGTTCTCTTAAGCTAAATTCTCATGGCAAAAATGTAACGTACTGTGACGCCCAAGAAAGCTTCTGACCAAGCTGGTCGAAAATGAAATGTCCTTGGCAGTGCATTAAATATTTCAGTTCCAAAACAAGGAATAAGTAATTTTTTCGAGATACTGGTACACTAATTTATTTGATTGATAGGAGTGCCAAATGTGTTTAGCGTTTCTCGTTCTTCACACAAAGAACGCATAGAATGTCCCACCTAAAATTTTATATAAAAAAATATGTTATTGTTTCTTGGACATTCACTGGAAGAAACTCACCTATTTGTTACACATACACCTTGTCTGGCGGTGGCTTGGCCAATCCAGGACTCCGTTACCACGAGCAAGAGGAGAGGCGTCAAAGACAGATCCATTTCTGAACAGCATTTAGAACAGACTGAACGCCGTATGACAGAGATTGAGCTCCTGCGATATTCCGGATGCGATAATGATATCCTGGGTACAAGTCGCGACTTAAACTCCACGTATTATTATAGCAGAAGGGCGCAATAAGTTCAAAATGGAGGGTGTAGGCTTCAGAACTGTCAGTGTATTAGAGATTTACATAGTGACTGGAGTACAAACCTCGCAATTCAATTTTCGACTTTCGCTAGGGCTAAGAAGTGGATTTTCACAGACACAGATTTTATTCAGGACTTCCAATCCCCTTTATAATCCATGTCACACTTCCTCCATTGATAATAAAATATAAGACTTCTAAAAAGATAAACATTTTTCCACAGTCATTTATAATTATAAAATTATTTGAAGTCACAACTAATGCTTTTTTCCCCCAAAGAGGTTAATAGCATGATGCGTCTTTGTGCCGAAATATTTGTAGGAGTATTTCTATAATTACAAACTTGTCAAAGTTTAAGGGAATGGATGGACCTTTTGTGGGGGGGGGTGTCGATCAGTAATACAATTTGTTGCATCATTATCTTTGAAAAACGCATTGTAAGTAAATTAAAATGTAAAAGTTTCTTCAGTGCGACTGAAGTCAGAAAAAAGCCTTGTTTCAGATTCCATATTCCCGTCAAATACAAACTCCGCGAGGCTGCACCATGGGCGCCAACATCAGATTTAATTTTTTTTCTCATCTGGCGCACGACGTACTCGTACAGAGAAGCGTGACGGATATTGGCTCTTATATTAGGTGGGGACGACAGAAGATTAGCCAAACATTCTGTCTTCGTGAAACATGATGGTCTAATAATGAAGCAACTGTTAAAATATGTATGATTGTCGATAGTGGGATTCTGGGTTGTGACGACGTGGTATGGACTCGTTGGTGGATACCAAGGAAGAAGACGGCTATCGACATTTTCACTTCCGTGAGAACCTAAAACCTCATTCAGGTATTTATTTCAGTTGCATGTCGAATAATCTTCTGTAAATCATAACCCTGGAAACGTCTGCACAGATCGAGGCCCTAAGATCAAATCCGTCAAACGTTAGGACATTAGTTTATGAACTATTTTTGAGAAAATAATTTATGACTTTGGCTCAATTAAGTTCAGAAGTTGACAAGTGAAATCAACGTAACGTAACGTATTTCGTGTCCATATTACTTGTAGAAACATACGTTACATTTGTCCATCTGAATGCCTGCCCTAATGATGTTTTTTTTACCAATTGATGGATTTTTTGTTAAAATTGGTGTGAATATCATTAATAGGGACTAACCCACTTTAATAATTTCCTATGATCAATAACACCAACATGGGTTTCCTTGCAATTAATTCTGGTTGGCAGCCATTCTTAAATGGGTGAAATCATAGTTATTTATCTGACATATTAGTCTGACTTGTTATCTTGGTCACAAGTTCACATCTGAAAACTGTGTAAAGTAATTGGTAAAAATTTGTCTGTCATTATTTTCAAAAGGCACTACCTTTGAAATCAAATTTTGATTTTCAGACGTTTTTAGAATGACACTGTTGTATCTGGCCTTTCAGAGGAAAGTAAGGTGATTTTCTTTCTAAATTAGCCATTTTGATCTAGGTTAATATCAGGTATCTATTGATATGATAATTCTCTAAAGGTTTATAACAACATCTGATTCATTACACCTTAGTCATGTTGGACAGTGTCTATTAACTGAGGTGTGATACCCAGAACATATCAGGACTTGACTCTTTTCTCGTCTTCAGATGACTGGTTGTCGCTGTGCTGACAGGGTTTTTTTTTTATGTTTTTGAGATAAGTGGCAGCTATTTTGATTCCACTTTTGAATCTATTTAATTCCAAACATTTATACTTACCTGAATGTACTTCTTCAGGATAGGATTTAGTGACTGGGAGCGTATAAAGTAATCACGTGATAAATTGTTCAGATTTGTGAAAACAGGAAATTTCTAAATACCAGTGACTGTTTACTGCTTGGGGAAGATTTTATATAAAATTACTTATACAAAATTGATTCAGAATTTCAAAGTGTGTGAAGGATAAATTGGCAGGTCATCATACAGCATTATATTGCTACTTGTGATTCTGTCATGTGGAAGTTTCTTTACAATGTTCTGGTGATTCACTGTATTCTGGTGGTAGATCATCATAAAGCACTGACTCGTTGTCCTCTTCTGCCATCTTTTCTGCCTTTTCAGTCAGTTTTTCTTTCCTACAGTCTACCACAAAGATAGGATTTCTGTAGTCTGTTATACCTAAAAACAAAAACAGTACATCTGAAATGCATGTGGTCATATGGTATTTTTAAGCTTAATCATAGAATGCGTAAAAGTAACTTTTGTTGAAAACACTTTGCAAGCCCAGTATTCTGTCACCTCCCACAGAGAAACTGTTAATATTTATTTTAAAAATTATGTCACTGTAGACCTTATTCAGATCCTTTCTATTTGACTCATTTAGATTGTTAATGTTTGTTACAGTTTTTATGAATCTTTTATAAATTTTATTTGTATAATTTCAGTCTTAATTCTGAAAAATATAGTTTTTCATATGTTAAAAGTGTAAGCAGTTTAAAGGGCAAAGCAAGTTATTTTACAAATTTATCTTTGCCTGTATAATTTTGTAATGTCTGGTAGTTAACTGTTCATAATTTATTAACATCCATAAACTCATATGAAACAATAAATCTGTGTGTTACACCTATTGGATAACTAAAGTCAATATTGAAATCTTTCTTTTAGATTGACTTGCATTAGATGGTTTAATTTTAAACCATTAATTTGAGTCTCAAATCTCTTATACTGAACATAGCAACAGTAAAAATATATTAAGGAAATTGTCCATTCCATCTTATCTGCTGACCAGAGGGTAAGCTAACTCCATAGAGCATTGTTTTCTTGAGATACTAATTGTCATAGCCAGTTAAGAAATTCTCTACTCTTTATGGAACCCAAAGGTCCAGTACTAAATATATGGTAACTGTTATATATAATGTATTTTCTAATATTTTATCAAATTATTTTCATGTAATAAAGTTACATATCGTTAAATAGTGAGCCTTGTTACAATAATTATCAAAAATTAATTGGATGAACAGGAAAGAATTATTTGTGGTTCAGTTTAAGGACTCATTCTAGGTATCAGCACTCCAGTGAAAATTCTGCAAAAAAGTGATTTCAGCAACTTAATTTTGCATTTTTAGGCCTTGTGATTTTGGCAGACATAACATTATTTTCTGTGTATTGTTCTCACCAAATATTGCAACGTTAACATGGTACCCATTATTTATACGGATCTTTTACTGTTAGAAGAATAATCATTTCTTCTAACTATAGCTGTCAGATTATTGTAAACTGAGTTTCCACTTGACACACCCAGTGCTTTGTTCTTTTTTCACTGACATCAAGGATGTTTACATTTAATCATAATCAGTGACAACTTGGTAATTGGTTAATTGTTACATATTTAGGTGTTAATACATACTTCCAGTAACTCCACGCTCCTTTATGTGTTTCAATTTTTGTTGCCTCCATGTTACAATCTTCATTATGATTGGGTTGATAATCATTACTACCACCAGTATGGATACAATGATGAACCACACAATATAAGGATGTTTTGAGTGACCACTTTCTGTGATATTTCTGTAAGTAAAGTACCAAAATGCAACATAAATTACATAAGTTACAGTACCATGATTTTTATATGGAACAGAATAGATATCAATTATATAGGTTCAGTCAGGGTTCATTTCTGAGCAGGGGCTTGAAATTTTCTCTTTGTTATTGTGTTCATATCAACTCTGTTTCCCACCCTCCTTTTTGTCAGATGGATCTGGAGTTTCTCTCCCAGCAGGTAAAGTGTCCAGAATATTAATTGTCTACTTTCCTCCATCTAGGACCAAGGTTAAGAATGTACAGATTTTTACTGTTTCTCCCCATACATCTCCCAGGCACAGTGCTTAAATATAGGCTTATGGAATTATACATATAGTGTGGTATATACAGTTATGTAGGACAAGGGTCTGGAAATGAAACGTTATTTTAAATGTAAAGAATTAAGATCTTACCTTAGGCCTGAATCTCCCTGCAGATGATAAATTGAACAGTCTGATCCAGACCATCCAATGAAACAATCACACCTGTTAAACGCAGAGCAGTTCCCATTGACACAGCCTCCTGAACAGGAAGGCACACACCCTTTGCTTTTATCAGCAATGAAACCTTCATGGCAAGTGCATGTGTTTGGAGAAATACACATTCCATTCTGGCATCCTCTAGGACAAACTGGTACACACCCACTGGGATTCGTATTATCCTTAGTATAACCAGCATGACAGGTGCATTTATATGGTTCTGTACAATCTCCATTGATGCAACCGGCATCACAGACTGGGGTACATTGACTTGAATCATTATTATGTTTTGTATAACCATTGTGACAAGTACATACATTTGGAGTAGTGCAGTCAGAATTTTTTTTACATTCAGGATTACAAACTGGAGAGCATTTGTTGGAGATCATATTATCTCTGTTATAACCGTGAAAACAGCTGCAGTTATTGGGTGCAGTACAGTTACCATTTAAACAACCGTCTGCACAAGTTGGAATACATATATTTAAATCTTCTTTGTTCTTTGTGAACCCAATGTGACATGTACATGTATTTGGAGCTGTGCAGTCACCATTTATACAAACATGTTTACAAACTGGTAGACATTTGCTTCTGGATTTAGGGTCCTTAACAAAGCCAGAATTACATATACATGTGTTGCGCACTGTACATTTGCCATTTGTACAGGCTGGGCTGCAAACTGGCAGACAATTCTTATTGTTATTCGGATCTTTAGAATAACCGCTATTGCATGTACATGTGTCAGGAGCTGTACATTGCCCATTATTACATGATGGGCTGCAAACTGGCAGACAATTCTTGCTGTTCTTTGGGTCTTTAGAATAACTGCTATTGCATGTACATGTGTTGGGAGCTATACATTGCCCATTATTACATGATTGGCTGCAAACTGGCAGACAATTCTTGCTGTTCTTTGGGTCTTTAGAATAACTGCTATTGCATGTACATGTGTTGGGAGCTATACATTGCCCATTATTACATGATTGGCTGCAAACTGGCAGACAATTCTTGCTGTTCTTTGGGTCTTTAGAATAACTGCTATTGCATGTACATGTGTTGGGAGCTATACATTGCCCATTATTACATGATTGGCTGCAAACTGGCAGACAATTCTTGCTGTTCTTTGGGTCTTTAGAATAACTGCTATTGCATGTACATGTGTTGGGAGCTATACATTGCCCATTATTACATGATTGGCTGCAAACTGGCAGACAATTCTTGCTGTTCTTTGGGTCTTTAGAATAACTGCTATTGCATGTACATGTGTTGGGAGCTATACATTGCCCATTATTACATGATTGGCTGCAAACTGGCAGACAATTCTTGCTGTTCTTTGGGTCTTTAGAATAACTGCTATTGCATGTACATGTGTTGGGAGCTATACATTGCCCATTATTACATGATTGGCTGCAAACTGGCAGACAATTCTTGCTGTTCTTTGGGTCTTTAGAATAACTGCTATTGCATGTACATGTGTTGGGAGCTATACATTGCCCATTATTACATGATTGGCTGCAAACTGGCAGACAATTCTTGCTGTTCTTTGGATCTTTAGAATATTCTCTGTTGCATGTACATGTGTCAGGAGCTGTACATTGCCCATTTGTGCAGGATGGATTGCATTGTGGAATACAAATTTTGGTATTATTTAGATTTATTGTATAGCCAGTATTGCATCTACATGTATTGGGAGCTATACATTTACCATTGGTACAAGAATGATTACAAATTGGAAGACAGTTCTTGATGTTCATTGGATCCCTTGCATAACCACTGTAACAAGTACAGGTATCTGGCGTTGTACATTTACCATGATTACATGCTGGACTGCATACCGGTAGACAGTTTGTGCTGTTTTTTGTGTCCTTTATATAACCATTGCTACATGTGCATACATTAGGTGCGGTACATTGCCCATTGGTACAGGATGGACTGCAAATTGATAAACAATTCTTGCTGTTCTTTGGATCTTTAGAATAACCATTACTGCATGTGCACACATTTGGAGCTGTACATTTACCATTTTTGCAACCACCTTGGCAGAAGACAATACATTTATTTGTTTTACTGTCTAATATGTAGCCAGTGTTACACTTGCATTTTCCTGGCGACAAACAGTAGCCATTTGGACAGCCTCCAATGCAATTTGGCAGACACACTCCTTTGCTGTTTCTTACATATCCATGACAACATTCTTCCTCTTGCTTCCATTTGATTACTGTCTGAAATCAAATTGGATCATCTGAAACTTGGACTGACGATGTCAATTATGTTATTCTTAATTGCATTGATATATTAAGTGATTACAAGTTTACATGGCATTACAACCTAAAAGAACACATTATTTTAATAAATTACAAATTTGGGTAAGATGTAATGATTTTTTGTGATCAGGTTATGCCAAGGTATTACAGAAAAATGTATTTGTATTTTTAATAGGTATTCACAGGCTTTCATACTCATCCAAAATAAACTATGACATATCTTATTTGGTATAAATTTCACTTACAGTAGTTCTCAATATGAATTTATAATAACTCTGCAAAACATGAATGTAATGTGGTCATGCAATTATTTGATTGTTATTAGATTTCCTCGTTGAAGTCCCTCACCTTAATTGCAGTTTTATGAATTGTGTCTTTCTTGTGATGGAGTCTAATGATTTTTACTGGATAAGAATACACTTCTGTAGCATGGTACCTGTTTATTTCAGAAAGATCATATCTTAATACTTGATATTCATATTACAAGTACTCCTTGTTATATGCATGCTCAAAAAAATCTGTTTTCATTTTAATGCTTTTAGCTAATTTAGACCAATTTTAATTAGTAGCACTTGCTTTAATACACATTGCCTACTGGCTTTTCAAGTTAGATGGTCAGAAACGGAGGAGAGTTTTGTTTGAGTGACAGATTAAGAATGTAAGGGGAGAAAGAAAATGTTATTTTTCATTTATGCAATTTCACTTTCTGTGACTCTTGAAACACAACTGTCCCATAAACCAAGGAGTACCTGCATAAAAAACATCCAATTCAGGTGAAGAAGGTAAGACCCTGGTGGCCTGGTTAAGTTCAAATGACTCAGTGTGTACATAAGTTATTTCAAGGCATTTATAAGTTAATCATGTCCATTGAATTGTATGCATAATTAATTAGGTACAAAACTCTATTTACTGGTAATTTTTATTTAAGCCATGTGACTGCAGCATACAACACTTTTGACCAGTACTTCCTAAAACTATAAATAATTATTACTTTGAAGTAAGGTAAACATATAAATAAATAGGTGATGATAATAAATGAATGTTTTTGAAGGAAACTGGAATGTCAAGGTAGCAAATAAGATCTATAACTTAAAAATTGTACTTAATTTCAATTTAACCAAATTTCTAATAGTGGCTTTCCTGCACTGTGCTACTATGACTTACATTCTTGAAATCTGAAGTGGTGTTTCCTTCACATCAGATGTAATCTTGTTCTTATATGGCCATTTATACTGCTCAATATGCCACAATCGCCTTCTTCAGGGTGGATGTCTTGGGGGAAGCATTTATATACATCTGTCAGTAGCAAATGAGTAGAGGTGGAGGGAATTATTCAATTATCTGAGGAGCATTTTGCTATTCAATAGTGAACAACAATGTGGTTTTAACCACCACATGATTATGAACCAATATAATGATAAAATTTTAGCTAGTGGTCATGTGTTTAAGGTGATAAAACATGTTTTAACAACCTCAAAATTGCATAGCTCATCTAGAAGTGGTATTAGAGAGTGACCTGTTGGAAATTTAAAAATTTTGGAAAATACCTATACAAAAGAAGACGTAAATGGAACATGACCCACTTCAGAATTAATTCTATGCACTGTACATAGAATTCCTAATAAGACTGGACATAAAAATTTTGATGCAATAACAATAACATTTGATTTGTTTGGAACTCACCTGTACCCGAGTTTTGGTGATGGTGATAATCTGAGTGTTCAGCATTCTCATAGAGGCAGGGTACCTCTGTACTTCTGTGACTGTGTACCTGTGATGTAAAGATCAATAATCCTATGCCTATTTAGTTAGTATTCTTTCACCTAGCACAATCCTGAATGGACTTACTTTAAACAACACACATAGTTTGTTAGATATGGGTGCAGTACAAGTATACTGACATTTTTCTTTCTACTTGAATGAATTAGAATGTGAAGTTAATTTTGTAATATATGATTATGAGTTATCACAATCTTAAGTATAACTTATTTGTCTCCATTAACTGTAATTATTTATTGTGTTCAGCAGAATATGATTTACATATTCTTCTCTAGATAACTTTTGACAGTGGCTGTGCATTTTCATATCTGTTAGGTCTTTTATTAGAATCTGCCATAAAAAGTATTATTTATTTAATTATATGGTACACTACGTGGGGCAGTGCCAGAATTATGCATAAGCTAACTAAACTGCAGCTTAGGGCCTCATGATATGAGGGGTCTCAAAAAATACATTACAAATTTTGAAGTGTATACCAATACTAGTAGAATGCTTTCATTAACATCAGTTTCATTTTTTTTAATGTTCCCTTCAGTCAGGATAATATATATATATATATCTTGACTGTGAATTTTTGGGGCCTCTTAAGCTTGACACAGCTTAGGGCCTCAGAAAGTCAAACTCCAGCCCTGATGTGGGAAGTAGTTGAAGGAAAGAAAATGTGCATTGTATTTGATATGACATTTAAAGAATCTGATACAGATTTATAAGATTTATTTCTTATTTAGTCAATATGGATATCACAACATGATTAATTAAAAACAGTTGATTAGAAGTTGACTATTTTTGTTATCTGAACTTATCCAGGCTTCACACAAGGACATATATTAAAATAATTTTCAATGTTTAAATAAAATATATATTCTTATAGGCCCATATTAGAAATACTTACCTGTTAAAATATTGAATGACTTAAAAATAAATTCGTGCTTGAAAGGTTTAACAAAGACAACTGAATTAGCTGCATTTACTGTAAATTTTATATAGACATACTTAGAATTTATGTTCTTCCCTGTAGTGAGTCTTGTAAATTGGATTAAAAAATTGACTGCTACAAGTGAACCCTGAATGAATCTAGTAGAATACTAAAATATGCCTTTATTATCACATCTAATATACTATAGTATATATACATTTACTGCAAAACATTCTTACTGAAAACATAATAGAAATAACAATTTTTTGATTTTAAAATTGTTTAAGTTTGCTACATTTTCCATCAGTGAACTCTGATCATAAACAAAAGCATTTAACTCAGGATTTTTGGTCTATTTGCATGATTTATAACAGCATTTTGCAGAAAACCTAGAGATTTAAAATATGAAATAGAATAGGGTTGACCAGAGTTTGAATTTTAAAATTTTGTCAATGAATATTTTATTTTTAATTTTTTGAGGGAATGTGCCATTTCTAAAAATAATAGGGATGATTCCATTATAAATCTAGATACTTGATCATTTTATCAATATTTCTGTAGTAAAACTGTCAAATCTTTGCAAATTAGTATCACACAGTAGCTATCAGGAAATGTATTACTGCATGTTACCATGTGTGAGACTTTCTAAAGTAAGTGATACTTTCAACATTAGTTTTATGACAACATAGTTCTGCTGGTGTTCAGCCTATGTCTGGCTCCTCTGCTAAGGGTTCTTATTTTAAGAAAGTAATGTTCTTACACTTACTCAAATTTTATATATAAATTTCATAGGGCTTCTTTTTGTCTTTTATTTTTAACAATGGTACAACATAGGCACTTTTTAAAAAAAACATTTGTAAAAGAATTGTTAATAAACAGATACTTATATAACCCTTTTTAAAAACCTAAAATGCAATGTCCCATCCTCCTTGTGCAACTGAATAAATGCAACTTCTGTTTTCCAAAATCAAACATGCTTCATGTATATGACCAGGGTTTATACATCTTTATTATCTAGAGATCTCAATCTCATTCAAAAATCAACTCACTAAACAAATAACATGATTTTATAAAATATAACAATATTTTATATCCTTCTGACATGTAAATATGATACTAACGGTTTGTTGACAGTTCTGGTGCATGGTTTAGGGCCATTTGCCCAGCACCACGGTGATAAGGTGCAGATCAAGCACAGTAGCACCAGCAGCTGGCAGACCATTGTAATCTTCTCTTCAAACTAGAGAGATGCAGTGAGTTGGACTGGACTGGAGACATTGTGTAGGCAGAAGGATATGCTGATAGCGGAGTTATCTTGTGTCTTTAGTTCCTCCTCATTGCCATCATATCCTAGAAAGAAATTTCCTGCAACCCTAATTTCCTGTTAACAAGATAACCTTGGTCACATGGATTCATGCTTATAACATTTCTTTGGAAATAACTTTATCAAGCTTGTTACGGAGATTCAGAACAAAAATGATATGATCTTATGAGTCAGCCTTACAATTATTTGGTCATGTAAACTACTATGAAGTGATCCTGGTCAATTTACATTTATTATAACATTAGCAGTCTAAACTTTTATATTTTTAAATGTAACTACTTATAATTTGGGCCAGGCTACTAGAAATCCTGACAGCTATTTATTCTGCTCATTCTATACTTCAAAACAGGCTATGATCACCTCCTTCCAGATCCTTATCTGATCACCATTTATGATCCTTTCTCATTTAGTATTATATAGTCATCATACTTAAAAGAGATTAAGTAATTTTAGAATCAGTTAGCCTTATTTATTCATTGTCACTGTCATTATTATTCATTTACTACATACAATAAAAGCTGTATTTGTCTTCAATACATTACTTTTCAGGGTTTTTTTTAATTTTGATTATACACTAACGGAAGCACATACTCATATTGCATGCCTTGTAAACATTTGAATTCTGTTACCAGATTCAAAACAGAGAAGTAAAAAATATAATACCATTTATCTGTTTTGTTACTAAAATTAAGGGAATTTCACCAAAGACTAATTTTTCCATTTTAAATGCTGATAATATTTGCAGCTAAGGAAACTCTAGTTGCAGGATATGTTGATGTTTAAAATGTGGTTAATATTGTGTTCATAACACGTAACTTTATCAGTTTATTTCTTTGCCTTCAGCTTTTGTAGATAGCTGTGACAGAGCTGCTGCTTTTTAAATTGTTGTCTAAATCTAAACAGTTTCATAATAGTGAAAGAAATTAATTTCAAAAACTTAATTGATGAGATTATAATTTACAAGTGCATTAACAAATATGAAATTCTTATTTAAATTACTTTTAAATTAATTCTATTTATCCATTGCCACTCAAATAGTGTTTTATAGGGAATAATATATTGTGAAAACATGAAGACTGTAACATGCATAAATATTTATAAACATTTGAAGCTACTACCTAACTAGGTAAAATCCAGGTCTAAATTAGGATAAACATTCTCATTAAATTTAGATATTTTTGTTCAGTAACCTGCTATACTTCTTAAATATGGAATATGTTCAAGAAGAGTAGTGGTAGTTAATATTTATATATTTTTATATTGGTGGTGCTGGATATAGACCAGTTACAGGTTCTTGTGAACATGATAATAAACACAAGGTTTCCATAAAAGATGAGAATTTATTGACTACCTTAACATACTATTAACTTCTCACATGCACTCAATTGCTGTAATATCTATTTTAATTTTGTCCTCCCATCTATGCCTCCATATCCAAAATGGCTGCTCACTTCAAATTTTGCAACAACAATGTTGCATGTCTCCCCATTTCATCCTCTTTGACTTGATCACTTCAATAAAATTAAGTAAAGAGTAAAAATTATGCAGCACCTCCTAATGCAGTTTTCTCCATTCTCCTGTTTCTTCCACTTACTCTTAGGTCTAAATACTCTCCTTAGAACCCTGTACTCAAAACCCTAAATCAATATTCAACCCCTAAGATAAGTCAGGAATTTTCACATCCACTCAAAAATATGTAATATTTTAGTTTTGTGTATTTTAATTTTTGGGTTTTTAGATAGATGACTAGAAGATAAATTCTAAAATGAATTGTAACAAGTAACAAGTATTCCTTGAATTTCTGCTTATAACTTATTTTGAATAATTTTGTTAAGTTGCTGTCATTCCAAAATATTATATAATTTCCACATTTTCAAAAGACTTAGTAACACTTAATTTCAGTCATATTTTATCAGTATAAACTGCCATCAACATTTATAAATTTTAAACTTCTGGAGTGTTGCATTGTGTAGTCCAATATAAATCAACCAAAGTTTCAGAATAGCATATTGCCTCCATTATGCGAGTAAAATTGTGAAGATTGAACCTTATTACCTATTGAGCTATCGTAACTATACCGGCGATAGTCGTATTTCTCATTTTCGACGGATTAGCAGCACAGTATGAGAATAATTGGTGTTGGTATGTTGGTACTGCTGCCAGTTTTTCATGTGTATGGTAATATCTGTCTATGACTATTGGCGCGAAAAGTTTTGAGAAGTTGTGCCATAATGAACTCTTTAGTAATTAGAGAAATGAATAAGGTAATGGCTCGTAGGGAACAATAAATCCTTGTAAGTGTAGACTGTAGGAGAAGGATCTTCCAGAATTGGTGATATTATTAACATATATTTTAATTATTATTAAAATACTGCAGTAGAATACAGGCCAATCATGCAAATAGCAAAGGTGGATCAGGGGATATTCATATTTGGAGGCAATACAAGGGACAATTTTCTAACCTCTCCTACATAAATTTTCAGTGTTAAATTAGATAGAGCATTATCTGGACCAAATGTCTTCAGGGGAAATCTTTAAAACTTCAGCTTGAAATTTTCTAACTTTTGGAGTTTACCAGATTAAGCAGTATCTATGTGTACAAGATTTGAACTAGTGACATTTTACTGTTTTTGTTGTGAAATAAGCTGTGTTCCAATTATTATTCAAGTTGTAGGTGCTAACTTGCATGATTCTATGCTTATGGTGAGGAAACTTGTGTGTTAAGGGCATCTTGGCTGCCCTATTCTGTTAAGTAAGCCCTGTGTAATTAACAAAACTGGTTTTATTTATTTGTATAATTTATTAGAATATATGTTAGTCATTCAACAATAAATTACTTTTAGAAAGAGAACTTGGCTTGCATATGTGTGAGCAAAAAGTTAATGGCTGATATGTGGTTTCAGAAGCAAATCAAGTAAAAATGATGAAGAAAAAACTGGAAGATATACATAAAATTGAGGTTTCTGGAGAAATAACTTCAGGAAGTAATCAAAAGAGCTTTCCAAGTCCAGTAACTAATGAAAGTATAGAAGTTTCACCAGCGGTTGGAAGCGGAAAGGAGCACCAAACAAGAAAATCTGCTGCTTTAGAATGTGCAAGCATCAGAAAACGTTCTCTCTGTGGCTATGCTACTTTGCTGGACATTGCGATGATGAACAATGAAGGGTTTCCAGCATCAAGAGTCTTGCCTACAGAGGAATTGGTCCCAAATTCTTATCATCAAAGTTTCCATATAGCACGATGGAAAGCCTGGCTGAGAGAAACCCCCCAGGTATTGATTTCAGTGCCTAGTACAATAGTGTGTACAATGAATTAAAATAACTGACTGCAGTAAGACATAACCTCATTCTTTTTTAAGCTCAGCTAAACTGAAAACGTTGATTTAGTGATGTGACATGTTGGGTTTTGTCTTATCATTGTTCCTGTAAATCAGAATTGCAGCATTTTGTCTTTTGTACCTCCCGTGTTCTGCATTGTTTTTTTTATCTCAATTCTCAGTACATTTAATTTGTGCATAGACAGTACTGAATTTGTTTATTCAGTTTTCATACTTTGTTTCATAAGTGGATGAACAGAATTTAGACATTGAAGTGATTCAAATTTATGACCTAAAAGTGTAAGTATTGAAATTTTAATTTGTTTTGTTATTTGCCAACTTTGTTTCTGAATAATTTTGTATTGTAGACTTCGAATATCTTAGAAGTTTTGTAACATTGTATATACTTAATGAAAAAAGATTCCCTGTTAGTGGATTTTAATTAATACTGACAGGACATATTTAATATGCTCCTACATATCTTCTTGAAGTTTTATTCAGGTTTTAGGTGTTGATGTTTCTCACAGATGAAATGCAACACAAGGAGTACATTTACCCAACTTAGACTTCTGTAGGTGTCTGGGGATGGAGACTAGCGCCTTCTAAGGGACCCTACAGAGTTGGAAACATATTGTCCCCAAATTTTATTTGATGATGGAAACATCCAGTCCCTGAAATATCGTGTTATGAGAAACAATTGATGATGGTCAATGTCCAAAATTTTAGTCAAAAATATTACAATACACCATTGTCACATCTTCTTTCTGTGGCTCTACAACCCAAGGTGGGTCTTGGCCGCCTCCTTTCGGAGGTTTCTTACTTGGTCTTTGAAGTGTGCATTTGTGAATAGTGAGTGACCAGCCCAGTGCGTCTGCACAATTTTTACTCAATCCTCATTTTGTCTGCTGGAGTCATCTAGCAGAGAATCAGGAGAGACATGGGTGAGAAATGGCTGCTTAATTTTGCTTACAAAACATCTCATTCATGCTGTAAATCTGCGGCATGGGAACACCGGCTTTACTTTCTCTCTGAAGGAAGTTGTGCTATGGATTTTTATCATCCTTAAATTCCATCGACCTCAGCCAGGTTTTTTACCTGCGAAGCTTTGGGTTTAGAGGCGAGCACACAGTAGTCCACCGAGGGTGACACACCATTGTCACTATCATTTAGATTGATATGTGTGGTGTATGTTGTAATAGCTTTCCACCAACAGAGCTGCTGTAATGTCAGTAAGGCATGCATAATCACAAAGATTTTAACTGCAGATTTGAGTACATCTTGTTTGATTTTTTGCATTTTGTATATTTCAACCAATTGATCAAAGTATACTGTAGTGATAAGAAGTATTAAAGAAAAACCATTTGGATGATAGATATTACATGATGTTCTTGCCTTTTCAGTGGATAATAAATATGGGAAGACAGAATTTGTGGATGCTAGAAGGACAAAATGGTCATCAGACAGTATGTATTAATATGCTTATAAATGCTTTTCAACTTAAAGTTTTCAAAGAACTTTAAGCCATGTCCAAAACCCTTAGTGCTTCAATACAAAATTACATTTACTGATCAGACTCTATTTCACTATGTAATTCCAAGCATGTTAATATCTGGGAGGTAAGTTTACAGATAATAATTTGCTCATTCACATTTCAGCCACAGAATGAAGCTAATAGTAATGATGTACAGAAGCACATAAGTGATACATATGTAGAAATGAAGGAAAAGAATGAATCAAGTGAACAAGACAGTAAAATTAAGGAAGAACACTTGACAGAATGGAGGGATTGGTCTCTCCAGCTAACAGACAGAAATAGTCTTCTCATCACAGGGAAAAGAAATCAGTAAGTGCAAGTCCAACAGTTCTATGTCACCTTGACATCGGGGTGAACCCTGAACCTTCACTTATGAAGGCATTGAATTCCAGGAGTTTCCGTAGCAGTAGTTCTAAAATTCACGTCCAAATCTCTGACTCCCAAATATAGTTTCTTCTTCCTCATAGTTATTCAGCTATGTATGGAATGCTCTGTTATAGATACTGAAGGATCATCACTGTTGCCATTGGGTCTTGTTGTGAATTCTTCTTTTGTAATCAATCCTAGGATTGGTTGGCAGCAGCTCTCCAAGCTTCTCGACCTTCAACAATCTCTTCAATGCTGTATAGGAGGGGCAGGCGGTGTCCTCCATTAACTGATTAATATATTATTTCAGTCTAATCTGTGCTCTCACAATTTATTTCCAGAAGGTCCAGTCTAGTATGATCCTCCCATTTATGTATCCCTCTGAAGAGTAACAAAAATTAAATTTTGCACATTTAAAAAGTGAAGTAACATAAATCTTTCTGAAGTACAGAATACTTTGCTTGGTATAATGTTTTGGTTCACTGTTTTGATCATAACAATCATCTTATTAAAATTAAATTAAATCTGTGGCGTAACAGCTCCAGAGAGCCAAAGCCGACTAGCTGGCTGCTGGCCTCTCGTTCACATGCCTAAGCAGAGGTGAATGATCATCCAACCAGATATAGGGTGATGTGTGGTCAGCACGACAAACCCCCAGCCATTGCTAGCTTTCCTGACTGGATTACGCTACTCATTGTAGCTCCCCAATTTCCTCACGATGCTGGGTTGGCACCAGTCCCATACACTGGTCAAAAGCTCATGTGAAAATTTCTTCTCCCCCGAGACTTGAACCAGCGCGCATTACGTATCGTTGGTCCAAAGCATGATGCCTCAGACCGCGCTGCTATGGCGCGTGAGAATTATCTTATTACAATTGAAAAGGTGATTGGTCCTTAAATTGCAATGTATGATGAATTTAGTACTACTGGATTTCTGAACTGTGTCCATCAACTGGTATTCCAAGCAGAACACAATGTTTCAGAAACTGGGTCTATTCAGAATACCGGATGACAGACAGTCAAGAAACTCAGTGGTACTGATTGTAGTATACTGTTGTCAGAATTATTTAAAATTGATATTGTATTATGCACATTTGGTTTGCATATGTTTGTGACAATAAGCAGTCTTCTGTCTAAGGCCTGGGAGGCACATCAGTAATGTATCTGTCTACTTGTATATTGAGGATACTCTAGAGTGAGTCCTTGCTAGGAACTAACCATTGTTACTGAGGCTTTGTTCCTATAGATGTTATTAAAATATTTTGATTTAATTTTTAAGATTTTATTCTAGTTCATTTCCCCACAAGAGATGTTTTGTTTTGTTTTGCATGTAAAAAATGTATTAACAAAATTCTTACATATTTTAAATAGCCATGTAACCCATATGAAATTTTTTTTTATGGAATTCACTCTCTGAGAGCTAAGTTTGAAATGTGTTTTCTAGTTCTGCAAACTGTCACATTTGATTTTTGCAGGAATACAATACAGCTGTCGAGGGATGTTTCATATTGCAAACGCATTGATGCCAACACCCTGCTTCATAATGATGGTTCAGTGTACATACTCAATGGTATGCCAGACCATTTTACAAGTAAGTGGGCCATTTAGAAAAGAAGACATTTATATCAGAGTCCACTCTTTCTCTCTCTTTTTGCATGTGAGACCATGTAAGTATTCAGGTTAGCACAGGTTTCTGATATATCCAGGTTCTGTTTTATGCAGATTTGTATTATTTGTGTGTGTGTGTGTATGTTCTTGTTTTTTTCCCTTTCTTTTCTTTTCTTTCCTTTTCTTTTCCAGATTTACCATATTATGTGAGAAACAAATTCCAGTGTGGATTCCCAGATGACTGGAAGGATGTGAAATGCAAGTGGATAAAATATGTAAAAGAAGGTAAGTTTTTACTTTATTGTACATAATATTACTAATAAAATCAGTGTTGTATAATATTCTGGATTCATGATATAAGGATGTTCTGTCTAGTAAATGTTTTATAGGCTGTCTCCAACCTGAGGTACAGAACAAGATGTTTAAAATGCAAAGTTGAGTACAAATCTCTCTCTCTCTCTCTCTCTCTCTCTCTCATTCTCATATTTATTGATGTTTTCAGATTCTTTTCGAAGGAAATATGGTAAAGGTTGATTATGTATTTATATTTAGTTCACCCAGACATGCATGTGCAAACTGTTACAGTACAATTATGTATCATCATCTTTGAGTGAAATCTTAATTCATATCATATATAATAAAATGTGTACTAGCAGAAATTTGCATGAATTGGGCCACTGAGTTTATTGACTATGTACATATCCATTTTATTTAAATGTTGCAGAAGTTTCATGTGTTTGTGGGTCATAAGCAGAAAATGGTTTACCTGACCAAATATAATTTAAGAATTTTACACTGTTGCCGTGTCTGTAGGTTTAATGTATGAAAATGTTTCATACAGAATTTATATGAGCTGTATTAATACAAAAATTCAGTGGTTTATTTATTACTTCCTCCAAGTACAAAGCTAAACGAAAATTTTTATTGAACATCGCCATAAACATAAACAGTAACACTGCATTAAGTTTTTGCAATATTTCATGGTTGTGTAATATTTTCACTTTGCTCAGCCTCTGTTTTTTATGCAGTAAAAATTATAAATGAAGCAGATATGTAATGAAGTGGTGTATGAAACACATTTTCTAACGATCTTTTTCTGTTCTGTTGCATCAGGGAGTCCATGCGACTTCAGTTGGACAGTAGAAACTGATGAATGTGTTTCTAATGCAGCAGTTGTTGAAAAGTGTACTCAGCCAAACACATCGTGCCAAGATGGATTTAGTATAACTTCATCTCATCTTAGAATGGATGAGATTTATCAGCATGAAATGCCAGTAAATGATGAGAAATATCGACAGTCACATTCAGTTGCTCTGCAAAATGAAGTCAACCAGTTGAATTCGAAAGACAAGCAAAAGTGCTTGAAAGAAACACAGTCCTTGGTAACACAAAAAAATTCCAGAGATAGCTTTGAATGTTTGCTGAATGTCATAGTTACAGGAACTCTGAATCCGGATAAGAGTAGCCATTATTCTTCTTCAGATGGGTCAGATCATGCTTCTTGTGCCATATACTCTTCTGGCACTCCTAAAAAGGTGTCAAATCCAAATGATGCTGATATTACTAACAATGTCACTGAAGCCAATATTACAGTAAGTACTCAAACAAGAAAATATATGAGTAGATCAGTTCTAAAGGGTCCTGTCAATGGTGTACTACAATTAGTATTACTGGATTTGTGGACTTTGTCCATCATCTGGTGTACTTAAAAGAGCAGAACTTTTCAGAAACTGGATCTATTTCCATCCTCAGCTGAAAGGTGGGGAGTACCTACTCGGTTGGATATGTTGGAAACGGCTAACCTCACATAAGATTTTGTCACTTGGGGATAATGACAGTTTCTTGTAAATTTTCTTATTATCTCCTGTTAACAAAACCTATCGTAGTAGCTTATATAGTTTTAGTTGACTGACTTAGATTGTAGTGACTAAGGTTAGCTCTTCCTAGCAGACCAAGTTGAGCAGGAATTCTTCACTGATTATGGAAACATTCTTACTCCATGGAGCTGAATCCAATGGAAACATATATGGTGTCTTTTTTATGTTTGCTTTTCAGTAAGACAATACCTCACATTTCAGGCTTGCTGTGCCCTGAATGTAGGTTTCTTAATTGACGGTTCAAAAGAAGTGGCCTCCAGAAATTCATCTTATACATTTGAATGTTATATGTTAGGATATACCAGATACATTATGCTGAGAGAATCCACAATTTGTGGCATCTGTGAGAATTTCCACAGCTGTAGGAAGAGCCATACTAGACATGTTTTGCCATACCTGGACTGAAATTTAACACTGATGTCTGCAAGGCTACAAATCCTGTTCACATTTATACCTTTTGAGAAATGTAATTAACATTTGAGACCATATTTTCCAAGAAGAGAATACTGTGTTTTATTTATTTTTCAGAAGTTATTTAGTTTTGAAACCAGAAATTTATTTTCTATTGACACTATAATATAACATGTGCCATGTGTATTTAGTTTATTTATACTTAATGATATTTGTTTTCTATGTAGGTAAATCAAGAAATCAGTCTTGAAAGATGGACTCCTGTTCTTATAAATGGTTGTGATCTCAAAGTAAATGGTTATATTAAAAGGTATGTTATTTTATATTTTCATTATGAAATAAAGTACAAGTGATAATGGAAGTTACCCAGTTTTCATGGCAATGTGTTGAGATATTATCATTTAAATTATTCAGGGTGAAGTGGCTAACAGTATCCACTTATGAAAAAGTATTAACTGTGAGCTATAAGGGAATCTCGTGTTCTGTTGAGAAACTATGTATGCTAATAGGAACCAACATTTAGAAATAGGAAGTCATATTCCAGTGTTACTCTATCCTAGAATGAGATGTGTGTAATTTGTTGTGGAACATACGTTGTGTTTTGAATGGTAACCTTTATGAGTCATGGTGTATACGGTTAAATATCCTGCTACTGTTTTGCAGACAGCAGGTTATACCTTATCACCAGGCTGATTACACTTGTATCTAATAGAGCCATTTGCAGCTGAAGGCATTATAATCTGATCAGTCCTTATATATGCATATTGTCAATGCATACAGTGAAGTTCAAGAGATTTTTTAACTGTATATTTTAAGGGACTTTGTTTTTAGCTGACATCACAGCATTGCATGGCAATAATTGTTACATCATCACATTCTTGCCCAACATTATTTATTTATTCCAAGAAACAGCCATTTCATTATGAACGCTTGCTTTCCTATACTGCATGCAAGGCTGTCTGAAAACTATGCAGTCTTAAAATATTATTTAAAGAGAGTTTAAAGGTGTACTTGTTATCAAATGTGTTTATATAAATGTACAGCAATTTTGAAGTTGTTTATTGATTGGAGAGACAGTTTATCTTTAATCCTAAAATCAAGTGAGTGCCAGTATATTGCCATAAAATAAGCAGTACCTTTTTCACATCTCTCAAACTTCAGCATTTATAAATATCTTATTATGTTCTTGTCTCTTGTACTTATGCAACTTCTGTTTCCCACCTTTGTCAGCCACTTCATTTTATGTAGGATTTGAGGTTTTCACAGCGGTGAGTATGAAGAGTTCCGTCTTCTGGTTTGTTGCACCATGTAGTCTGGTCGATGTTAACCAACGTTTCAGAGGTCATACTGCCTCCGTCATGAATACTACACTTAATTTGTTTTACATTTAAAGATTTTATATTACATTTTGCATTCTATGATAATGTATTGGCATGTCAACTACAGTTACAAAAGAATCTCTTCTGAATTGTTATTCTCTTTGTTTTTAGTGAACTACATACAGAAGTGGCTCATACGACAGATATAGTAGTGAAACGTAAAACAAACATCTCTTTTCAGTGCAAGGATGGGAAAACATACAAGTTAATGGGCACATTTGTAGATCCTAAAAATAGTAAGTATTATGATTTAATTTTATCAGAAAATAATGAGCATAAATGAACTGATGAATTTGCATGAGATTTATACAAACATAATTCCACTAAATGTCATTCCACTTTTATACTTTTTAATGCTCTTTCATCAGCAATATCAACATGGTGGTTGCACAAACTTAATAAAGAGTCCTGAAATTTTATGTGGAACACATCTTCATACACTAAGCATTTATTGATAAAATTCTTTCATAGAATATTTGTGCTTGATTCTGTTATATGTTGTTGCATATCTCCTTTTTGTTTATGAAGCTGTACCAAGTCTGATTAAGAAAAAGCTGTCTAAAGGACTTCCTGCCCAATGGAAGAAGATGATGAAGACTTGGGACTCACTTATGCTTTCGACAAGGAATCAAAATTAGTTTAATGAGAACTGCGTTTGTTTTAGAAGTAATATAAATAAAAATCATTCCTTTGGCAGGTTTGATGAAAGATTTTTCAAGCTCTGAATCCAAACAGACATGTGTATTGCCATATACTGCAGGGAAGGTAAAGAATTACTGAACCTGCAGCTATTATCACTGTTCCCATCAACTCCCCTTCAATCAGTTCTTCTGGATTTATTGATCCACATCTGCTTGAAATTGTTTTCATTGATACTGACCATTCAGTGACCTACATATTTCTCTGTAACCAGCATGTGTTAAATATTCTGCTGCTGCTTTTTAAAAAAACTTAGGGAAATAGTGGGAACTCACATGGGATATTCTTACTGTAATTTTTAATTCCAAATGGGTTTTTTAATTTTTTATTTTCTATAGTGCTAAAAGAGATTATTTTAATTTCTGGCTAACTGCAACTGTACAGTTTAATCTATTTTTTATATACTTCTTGTATGCAACATTTTTTAACTCAGTACTTTCAGGTAATGCACACATGGAATCTGATGAAAGAACAATTAATTTTCCTTTCTCCAGTGTCAGGGTGAGTGCATACATTCCTATCTGTTTTTTTTTAAATCAAAGTGGTTTTAGATAAATAATGCTATAGTATGAAGACTATATATATATGTGCAACATAAATCATGCTTTGCAACCTTAGACTAAACTTGAACCACAAGGAATGTTCATATCAAGTATATCAGTCAAATTCAAATAAGATAAACAAAATGATAATATCTGTGTTAAATCTATGGATAAAAGCTCTGATAAAGTATTAAAAGCATGAAAGATTCTTGTCAATGAAATCAATCAAAAAATTATTGGGATACTAAGTAGGAATTGCAAAAGAACTCATTGTTTCAATTTACAACATGCAAATTTCTAACACATTTAGGACAAGCTACTAATGTTAGGTATCAATTAAAATGTTTACCAAAACCTTGTGAGTAGGAATAGTATTTAGCGTTATTACCGACTGAGCTATCGTTACCACTACCGCTGTTGCATTGCGTGACAGGACAGTAGTACACGATACTACCGAAGAAAGGTAGTAATCGGTGGGCTACACGTGAATTTTAGGGGTGGGCATCTATAGACGCCGAACTCTGAAAGAATTTTGAATTATGTACTTCTGTATAGCGCTTATAAGTGGGTTTAATAAGATCTGTTTTTTCAATTATTTTGAGGTAATACACTTGTAATCTTCAAGATTAATATATTGGATTCCATAAAGGTAAGACCTAACCTCATTCACTATGAATCAGTTTGTAGTTCTCAGTTCATGTTGATTTGTAATACAGGTGTCACAAAGTTAACATATATTGTAAAAGTAATTATGCATTCATACTGTTCTAATGTGATTTTTTCTTTTTTACCCCGTTTGCAAATTTAGAAGTAGAGAGTTAAATGTTCTTGAAATAGGTCTTGTTGTACAGCAGACATGAAAGGAAAGGTAGTGGGTTAGAGACGAACCGAGTTGTTTTAATTTGAAATCATCCTCAAATCAGAACTTGGCCCATGATTGAAGGACTTCACTTGACAGGGTATCTGAAAAGGATAATTGTAGTTCTCATAGTTTAAGAAGTGGAAAAGTTAACATTTAATAAATCAATTCTCCATATTTTGTACTTTATTCCCATTATAATCAGTCATTGTATAAATATTGTTGCTAAATACAAACTTTCAAATGTTGAGGCTAATTTACAGTTATATGTGAAGTAGTAAAAGAAAAGACTTACAGCAAGTACTCTACCATGGCTTCCATTTCAAGTTGAATTTAAAGTTATAAAGTTGTGAAAATGGGTGATATTGGTCTTCTGGGTTGTAAACTTAGGTATCTACCTAGAAATCCACACAGCATTACAACCCAGAAGACCAACACTGACATACTTGATGAGTCATTCATGGTGAATATCTTATTATTTTATAGCTCACTGGCCTCATAATTCAGAAATATATATATATATATGCCTCCCATAACAAATATTGGCTGTCCTAAGTTTACTAAGAACGGTTGAACAATGTATTTCATATAAGAGTACACTGATGTAACATACTTATTGTGTACAGTAATGTTAAAAAAGGAGTATGTAATAGCTCTTTCAACAATTCTGTAGACTGTGGTCAGATGTAATGGTCTGATTGACTTCATCTCAGTTATTCATTCTTCATTAGTAATCTGCAATTAAATTTTAGTACTATAAACAGTCACTACTAAATACCACAAAGTATATGAATCACTGTTTAATTATGAGATTCATTGTTAAGATAGAGGCAATAGGTTCCTCCAAAACATTGATAATCACCTACAATTATGGTGTCACAACCCAGGCGGCCACAGTTGAAATTCCACAATTTAAAATAGCAATAGAATCTTCAATCTCAACAATTTATGTAGCACTGTAAACACTAAAATAATCAAAAATAACTTCGTCCAAATTGCTTATTGGAGCTTTAATGTTACTCATTTAAAATGAAGTTATGACTTATTACAAAGAAGTGCTGCTTATACAAGTCTGTAGACATAATGTGGCAGCTGCACAAAGACTGTTTTTTTCTCAAAATTATATTCCACCACCTTATACTGAGGCCACAGAAAGAAATCCCATGAGGGGTGAGGATGACAGGGTTCAAGACTTCCCTGTCTGTCTACCTCTGGCCTGTCGGCCAGCCAACATACTTTCTGCTAGTGCACTACCAGCATTCCTGTAAACAGAACCAGTACAGCTGGAGGGGGGGAAGTGTAACTGCTCGCAAGAGATGAGGAGGGGGCCAATCCATGGGATTTCTGTGGCCTCATTATAAATTACTGTTCTAGAGACACATACAAGGTTATGAAAGACCATAACCTTTCTGCACTTAGAATAATGTCCATCACTTCTGCTCTGAAGTTTTCACAATGATGACCTGAGCATTAGGATACCTCTGTTTGAATTCAGTGAGCTCTTTCACTGTCTGTGGTTGACATGTTACAATACCGTCACTTTCTTTTCCTATCAGCATTAAATCTTCCACTTTATCATTCATCTGCAATGAAAATAATTCTTTTATTACTATTTCTTCTCCTTTTATTCTCTTATATATATCTGCTCAAGAGAAATCAGGCAAAGGAA